GGTTCTATAAAACTTTTTTACGTGTGTATATAATTATTACACTAACTAAAAAGTACTAATTAGACTCGGAAAAATTAATTAAATTTAATGCTCATCAAAGTGACGCCTTATTCCATTGCTATCATAAAGAAAGTCTCATCATATCATTATCATTACGATTTTAATCTAAATTAAAGATTAATTGACATACTTAAGTGCGGGTGTTTTCTATCCTTTTTTATTATACGGTTTGATCTTATATTCGAACTTCTTTACATAATGAAATTTCTATACCAATTAATCGCCTTCGTTAGTGCAATGTTTACTTTGTGAAGCAGTTAATATTCAAAAGGTCAGTTTAATTCTATTATGTATTTCGAACCATTATCATCACACGGATATATTCTGGTCTGTGACCCGTTAATATGTTAATGTATCTGTACGCGCTTAGAATAAGATTTCGTAGGGATTCATATGAAATTCAAGAAAAATTTGCATAATGAAATTTGGAAGTAGATAAAAATGGTCATGGTTCAAGGAGTAGGGCACAGCGATCCCGCTCGAATTGAAGTGCCCGTCTGGGGAAGCAAACTCCACCTTACAGAAGACCACAGTAAAATGACACTACCTTTTGGTGGTTTTGTATTTCTGCTGGTGATAAGGGTTTCTGGGACCCTGGTAGGGATTAAGTTCAGGCCGGTAAGGTGAGGATAGCTGGAGTGGCACACCTTCTGCCGCATCATCTATCTCCGCGACTGGACTCCACCGAACGCTTTACATCATCAGGTAGGGCAGGGTGATTTGCTGCCTCGTGTTAAAAAATATAGGTATCTAAGTACACAGTTTCTTCAAGAAATAGAGCTTTTTTTCATTGACACCCCACAACCAAGCAGCGATCGATCGTTAAGTACCCTTAATAATCAACCTTCTCGACATCAACCACTTTGTCGCTATTGCTGGAGTAGGTAAAAGCTTTTCAATTAATTGAGACACATATACATCTTGGTTTAACCCGTGGTGTTAGATCTTCAGCGGTTTTTTTAAAACCCACGTCTGTGAATTCTAATAAGATTTCATCCAATTTTCATTTCTGTAAAACCTAATATTATATAACTTATACTTAAGTCACGTCTAGTATAAGAGAAAGATTTTCTTTCTCTTTATTCTTTATTGCATGCCACAGATAGTACAAAAAACAACATTATCATAACTTGTACAAACATGTGACCCTGCAAGGGCGTTGCAATTTTACTTAAATTATTATTATTATTTAAATAAACAATCAAATATATTATAAAAAAATGGGTGCGTGTACTTATGTAGGCGCGTGAGAAGTTATCCTTCTTTGGCATCGTTTAAAATTAGTTTTTAATTGCATGCAAATAATTAATTACTTACAATAAATTAATAAAAAGTCTGGAAAAGGACACGGTCAATAAAGTTCAGTTTTAATTTAAAAAAATAAATAAATAATCAAAATATTCAATTAAAATCGCTACTGAATATAATTTATTAGAACATATGTGATTTGCACTTGTATGAAACTCAAACACGTATTCCGAATATACAAACTAGAAACATGTGGATAAATATAATAAATATGAATACCTATAACTGTTACTTTATTACAAAAAATAAAGATGTGGTTTTTGGTTCTACTACATCAATGGTCAAGAGATGACGCTGTAGTCTCCTGAATCGCGCTTTGGTTCCGTTGTTCCAGATTAATAAATACTTTTGATAGGCCTTCACAATGCAGTCGTTAGCACCAACTAAATAGAGATTCTATTTCTATTTTGTTGGTAGATTTTCTTAATGTGCGGTAATTTTTGTGTTACAGTGATGCGCGCGCATCTTAAAATTTCACTCTCATCATTTTTTCATAACGCGCCTAAAGAAGTATAACTTCAAAAATTCAATTCAATTATTAAACATGCATCTTACCAAAATTAAAAAATACATATATTTTACAATTTAAAAACTATAGATATTAATATACAACTTTCACACTCAGAATTTTTCATATAATATATAGGTATGTCATGAAATTTAATAAGTTTTTTTATTACTTCATTAAAATTATATATCAAATATGTTTGTCTTGAAAAAACTCTTAGACCCTTTAGACATTTTTCAAAAATTGTATCGTTTTCCAAATTTTTAATATTGTTGGGTATGTGATTATATATTTTAATTATCATGAAGTGTGGAGAATAGATACCCATTTCAAGTTTGAAAACGGGAGCTTCAGTGTATTATGGTAGCGATCATTACGTCTTACTAATTTAACTGGGGAGTATAATTCGATATGTTTTTTCACAAACTTGCAGGTTTCAGAGATGTATAGGCATGTTATGGTAAGTATTTAAATTTTTTTTAAATATGGTTTGCAGGAGTCTGTCTGTTTTATATTTGCAAGTATTCTTATATTTTTTTTCTGGAGGACAAAAACATCATGAATATCCGTGCAGTTACCCCACAATATAATGCCATAGGTCAGCCTGGAATGAAATGGATAAAAAAGATAGGAATCTAGTTCCTATTTCTATTATAAGAAGAAGAAAAGATAGGAATCTAGTTCCTATTTCTAATATAATTACACATATATAAAGTACTTAAACATTTCTCTATCACATCGCACATCTTCGCATTCTCCTCATTCAACAATCGCTTGTAAACAAAAACAGTATAGTCAAATTAGGCATTTTATGAATCGCCACAAGACTATAATGATTTACCAATGAACATTTTTAACGAATCAATAGTACCTACATACACAAAAAATACCTCTACTGCATTGAAATACGTAAAAGGAAATGCGTCGAAGCATTAATGTGGAGTCCACCAAAGACACTTGACTTGATCACCAATTTAAGGCTTTTAATAGAGGAACAGTGTTGTCGGCATCGTATGTTACTAACTTTATTTCTACGTAGATACTCCAATCAGTGCCTAGAGTTAACAGTAAAGTCCTAGAAATGGCCATCCTCTTTCCCGCAACGTCCATATATTCTTCAGTCATCCATAATGCATAGTCATCGACATTCAAGATTAAAATCTTATTCATCACTTTAACTCTGTCTTTTTATCACCCATAGTCGTATTTTCTTCAGTACAGTCATCCATTGTTTATAGTCCTCGACGTTCAAGATAAAAATCACATTTTGTTACTCCAACTAAGACCTGTTATCACCACAAGTTAATAGTCAAGTCAATACCGCAGTCAGTTTCTTACTGACTCAAGTTCTTAATTTTATTATTTTGAATACTTTATCAATTTAAGGGGACTCATATATATATATATATATATATGTATTTTTGGATTATGATAATTTTAAATATATTAAATAAATTCCTGAATAGGACGCGCCCAAATTGTCATGATTCAAGACAAGTCAACGGACAGAATAATCCTAAATTTTAGTATTATCTTTATCGTTTATCTTTTTGTTGTCGTCACTACAAAGATCTGACACAAAATCAACAAGTCTTTTAAAAATGTCTAATGCCTTGATAAATTCTCTAACTCAATTTATGATGGATCTAAGTCGCAATATAAGAAATAAGAAAAATAATGCCAGTAGCAACACAAGCTTCGGACTTAACACGTTGCATTGCGTACTAAATCCAACTTTCGAGCGAACATCAAAGGTGAGCATTGTTTTATAACTAATAGCAATAAAACACCAGACATCACTTTAATTGCCTATAAACCTGTGGTTAATTGGACTTCTAAATAAGATTCACTGACTTTTACATTAAGTTTATCTGTGATTCTGTAACTATCGCGCTGCTTAAGATAATGTAAGAGATAATTTATGTCTGGTTTTAATGGCGCAACTTTTGTAATTTCAAAACAGATAGGTGTTCTCAATAAAGTTTAGGGTTTTTTGCTGACTACCTTAAGTACTCCTATGTTAATTTTTATCCCCATTTTTGAACACGCAACACAAACATTAATACTCCTTCTTATCCTTCAACCTACGCAATTTCGTCAACGCACATACTGTATCGGTATTTTCAACATTACAATATCCAATCTGACACCTGAACCAAGTGGATTATTCTAGTAAAATTTTCTTTAGATTTTTAAACATTTAGCAGTGAAATGCTTAATACTATCGCTTCAGCTACTTTGGGATATCAAAACATTGTGTATTTGTTTATTGTAAAGATATTCGATAAACCGTCGTCCTAAATTGATGATTCTTTGTACTATGGGCATGATAACGGGGTAAATTAAACCAAATTCTACTCGATTTTAGTTCGTCAATTAATGAACACATATTTATTTATTTTGTTATCAAACAAAAAATTAAAAGATAAAGTGCGTCAAAGTTTGCGAGTGGAGGCTCGTGACGTCACTTCCATTTCTAAAATTTTTACCAAGACGTGTCATCATGCGACATTTCAATTCAATATATCTCTGTAATTTTTGCCAATGCGAATAAAGAATAAGTACGTGTTTATAACTTTTTAATTGTTGATCCTTAAAGATATCTTGTTTAATCAGGTTTCTGCTTCCTAATTTGCAAATATATTTCATTGGAATGAGTCAAAAAGTATAAGCGAAATACCTAAATACAGGTAGCATTGTGTAGTTGACCGCACCGACTTATGCAATTCCTAAATGGTCACTAAGTAATCATTTCCGATCATTGAAGCATTTAGGACACCGCAATTTGGTCATTGCGGATTAGCCATTGTTGCGTGTTGTTGTAACGCTGATGTGTACACCATCTTAACTTTTTAAACTGAATTCATACTTAGTGCACATTTTTTTTTACTTTTCCATGTCAGAATTCTGACGCAAAGAAGTTATCACGTGATTATAAAAAACACAGTGATAAAATTAAAAGTAATGGCCTATAATAAAATCATGGGAGAACATTATGGAAGGTGCCAATAAATATATTATAGTGCCCGCTTAGAATAATCGGGAGAAATGAGCAAATCTTAAAGTACTAGGTTCAATTCATTTCAGGAACAAAAAAGGATATTTCTTTCAAAACATGACTTACCATCATAACTGTCCGGTATATACAAAGGCTTGCCGACCATCTTGCCCTTCTTGCCGGACAGCGGCACGGCCTCCACCCGCCTGTGCGCCTCCAGCACTCTATACAGAAGCACTGGCCTCTCCTCCCCCTCAAACTTCACAACACGAGGGAGGGAGAACTTATCCACGAACTCCTTCAAAGTCATCACTTCACTACTGTCGTCTTCGGGCTCGGTGGAGCCGTTGCGACGACCGAGGAGGAAATTGTCCGCCCACTCTGGCGCGTTCGGCCTTCGCTCGAGGAAGTCCGGCCTTCGCTCGCTGCTGCGAGGTTTGTATCTCGGTGGCCTTTCTCTCCGCACTAGGGCTTCGTTTGCTTCGGCTAGCCATCGCGTCACGAGCCTCTCCCGCTCGACGTCGAGGTATCGAGGCTTGGAGGCGTCGCAGGCGAAGCGCGCGGCGTCGAAGCAGTACTGAGGGGGTGGCGGCCGGATTCTTGGGGGGAAGAAGCGTGGGGGCACGTAGGGCGGGTGGGGCGCGTAGGCCGGCGGCGTCCTCGGCCCGGAGCCCTCAACTGACGCCGTTCTGAACATAGTGTCAGGCCATTGATGCGACTCCCGCCACCTGAAACAAAATAAGGAATAGTCGCTTTACAAAAGTTTAGGACAACTCTTTATCATTTCGCTTTAATGTCTGGATAAAACAGCTTTTACCCTCTTAATAGTACTTAGTACAATTCGTACATATATATAGTTTCTCACTGTATTCACTTGGAGACAACTAACAGATGTTCACACGCTGATTGTCATGTCGACACTACATTAACCACTTACCGCTTTGTTTTAAGCTAATTAATTGTAGTTACTATACAAACAAACCTGCTTGAAGCCAATACAAAATCTTCTTGGACATATTTGACGGACGTACACGTTTTAATGCAGTAAGAATTACAAATATTATGTATGTATAGGAAATTCTGTATCCTACAATATGAATTTTAATTATATTCGAAATAACTTAACCGGTGTTCCAGAATTTCCAGAAATTACGAAATTCCACCACTAATCACCTATGAGTACTATATTATCCTTCCTAAGATGGCTTCTTTAAGTTATATTTAAAGTCTATTGGGTAAAAGACTTTTCAAAATAGTTTCTGTAGATCCAGAGATTACCCCCTCATACATACACATACATACAACCGTACAAACTTGAGTTCTTTACTTATAATATTACTATATAATAGATAATACCTAATATATATCTTTGTGTCGAGTTTCATCTTCCTAGGTTAAGAACACGAGTATGTTTTATTTATTTATTTACTGGAAACCTGCCCTGTTCTTGAGGACCCGAAGATAGCGCTCTCTCCACTATTGTTAAGTTTACAAAGTATTGTAGTTGCGGTTTAAATATGTAATTTAAACCTGTGTGTGTATGTGCGTGTATGTGTAGGTGCGTGTTAGTGTGTGTGTGCATGTGTGTGTGTGTGTATGTGCATGTATGTGTAGGTGCGTGTGTGTGTGTGTGTGTGTGTGGTGTCATGTCCATTTGCTCATAAAAATACGTATACGTTTATCAATATCTTCTACGTATAAAGGATATTGACCTATACAGGTGTACAAAAGCAATGATTATAATCACAATGTTTAGTAGATAGAGAGACATGCCAACAAAGAAAAAAATATATGATTAATTGTAATGTCAGTACAAAGTCGTCCTTGTGTAGTATTAATTATATGTTAGAATGGCCAATAAAATACATTAATCAATCAATATGGAGATGAAAACATAACATAAACAACGATGTACTTCCTTCAACTATTTAGTGTGTATGTAATCGTTTTGATCTTGAAGTAAGTACCTTCACGATACTATATAAGAATCATAATAGAACCAATAAACAATGGAAATCCTATCGGCATAATTTTAATGGTTCATCAACACCCGGAATAAAGTAAAATAGTTTAGATAAATAATTAGGAAACTTTAGAAACACCCCTACCGGGACTCGGAGCCGCACCCTTCGCTATCCGGGCGAATGCACTGGCCATTATGCTACCGCGGCCCTGATGACCGTGTCGAATTTTCTCTAGCATTTCTTAGGCTGCAAGCCAGCGCCATCTCTTCGCATTATAAGTAAGCCACAATGTCAAATGAATTCCTTTACAAGTATTTCTTTTTTCTAGTTTTATTTTCTTTAGATTTAAAAATCTAGCAGTTCAAAACTTGAAAAAAATTAAAATATAACCTTTAGATCTTCGAAGTATATTAGGAATAAATATATTATAAAACCGATTTTTATACTTGGCTACATTTATATAGGTAAGTAGGTATCAAGATCGTAGAAGACATATTAACTATGGTAAACAAAAGGAAATCTACCCGAATACGCCCGGCTCGAATTGGTACGATGACGATCCCTTTCCGAGTTTATATGTTATAATATAATATTTATATTCATCATCATCATCATCATCAGCCTATTAATGTCCCCACTACTGGGGCACAGGCCTTCCCTATGGATGGAATAGGGAGATTGGGCCATGGCCCACCACGCGGGCCCAGTGCGGATTGGCTAACGACTGCAGATGCAGCCGGGACCAACGGCTTAACGTGCCTTCCGAAGCACGGAGGAGCTCGAGATAGTAATTTTTGGTCACACATCTAATCTAATCAATGGAATTCGGGTAAACGACTAAATGTTAATGAACGGAGTCGAGTACGCCCGCATTCGGGTAGATTTCCTTTTGTTTACACAACGACACCGTCTTCCAGTGTGAAAATTGCTTAGGGTGCCCGAATTCGAGTAATGTCTTTCGAGCACCCGAATACGGGCCAACGACCAAATGTAATTGCGGCATTAGGGATGCATCTTAGCTCACTCTCTCAAAAAAAAATTCTTGCTCAAACTCAAATCAAACTTCCAATACCATAGTTTTAGAAGCACATAATTTAATACGGTGAAAAAAAACAGATCAACCGGTTAAAATTAGAAAAAAAAAACACTGTAACAGCACTTTAAACACATACTAAATTTTATCACAGAGATTTAGAGTCGCAATTCGAAGAATTTAAGCTTGGTGGAAGTTACTTCTCTGTTGTCACACTTATTACGTGATTTGATACTCTAACATGTTGGCTTAAAGCTTAAAATGGTAAACTGAATCGAAATTGTTTGATTAAAGATTGATTAGTGAGGACATCGACATTTCAGTCCGAGATCTTTTACTAACACAGATTATTATCTTAACTTCGTAATAATGAGTTGGTTTTTTTTATTGCTCCAAGGAACTTTTTAAACAGTTAATACAGTAGAATAACCTGTTAAAATAATTATCATTCTGTGATCATTATAACACAAATAAAGAACTTTTTTAAACTTTTTAGGGTTCCGTACCTCAAAAGTTCCGAGATAAAGGGTTTTAACAGACAGGCGGACAACAAAATGATCCTATAGGGTTCCGTTTTTACCTTTTGTGATAAAAAAACGGAACTGTCTGTTAAAACCCTGTATCTCGGGAATGTGCGGAAAATGTATCGTGATGAAATTTAACCCCTACTCGAAACCACAGTAAATAAAAGATATGGCCGTTTATGGTGCACCGTTTATGATCCTTTCCTGTAAATGGTTTCGGACCATTTACGACGAAACCAACGTAGATATATGTATAAAAGTACATATTTTCAACACATTTGCTGAAAAAATGAATTTACAAAGCCAAAGGTAGTATACATTGTTCGAAAATTCAAAATTACGGGCCATACAGCGGAGCGTGCGGTAAAATTCATTACGCACGCTCCCATACAAGGCACCGTTGGTATTTTTGACGTGACAACGTCTTAAATTAGGTTGCGGCTGGGAGTCACTTATGAAAAAGTGTAACGCTCGGTAACGTTACGATGAGTCTCTCGTGTTAAGTTTAAGTTTACATGTACAATGTTTTAGTAAACAAAATATATTTCTATAGTTAAAATTTGTGCAATTCTTATTTTCATTTAATTCCTTGTTCCTATTGTGCAATTTAATTATATTCATATCAATAAATATTCTACCGAGAAAAAGACGTTGTCACGTAAAATCTTCGCCCGTAAAACCGACTTTACAGGCAACCATTTTTTTTAGTTTTATTTTTATTTCGAAATCGATCGAAACTTCTCGGAAGCGCTTTTAGTCTTTACCTATGTCTCATTTTAATACTAAAAAGAAAAAAAAGAGGCAAAAGAAGTAGTTTTAATTTACACTACACGTCATCATCATCATCATGTCAGCCATATGACGTCCACTGCTGAGCATAGGCCTCCCCCAAGGATCTTCACACCGATCGGTCCTGCGCCACTCGCATCCATCGGCTTCCCGCGACCTTCACAAGATCGTCGGTCCACCTTGTAGGGGGCCTGCCCACTGAGCGTCGTCCGGTGCGTGGTCGCCATTCCAGAACCTATCCGCCACAAAACGGCCATCGGTTCTTCTTGCTAAGTGTTCTTCTTACACCACACGTACATACGTGGCACCATTTGGATTAGAAAACAAATTTCTTCATTACTAAAATTAGGTTTTGTCACAAATGTGTTGAAAAACATTGTATGATATGCGTGCGGAATGGTATTACAATCTCGTGACTATGGTAAGACGTCGACTGCGTCTCGGGCTTCACATTCGTCTATTCGTTTGCAATAACCAACTTATCGCACTAGTTTCAAAAATAACTATTAAAATCCTTTTTAAGCCCGTTGAAGCAGTATTTTATTTAATGAGTGTTGTGCGTGAAAACATGGTAAATAAATATACTACCATACATATTGTTAATGACGTATTGTTTTTAAATAAACACAGCATCCTCTATCAACTTACTCGATTTAATATTAAAAAGCTAATTATTTTTAATAATTCTAGGTCCTTTTTCAGTTTTATGTGCTAACAATATTGAGATCTATATCGTATTTATAATTTTTATTATTTTTAAAGCATGTAACTGCTTGATGTTTATATCTAAAGAAAATATAACTAGAAAAAAAAATTCCACGCGGACCAGGCAGCAGACGGGACTCGAACCCGCACCCTTCGCAATCCGGGCGAATGCACTGACCAATTATGCTACCGCGGCCCTCACGGACCGCGTCGAAATTCTTTCTAGCTATTCTTAAGCTGCAAGGCAGCGCCATCTCTTCGCATTATAGGTAAACCCACAATGACAAATGAATACTTTTACAAGTATTAAACATTTGAAAGAAGAAATAGCAATCATAGTTATAATTTTTATTATTTTTAAAGCATGTAACTGCTTGATGTTTAAATCTAAAGAAAATATAACTAGAAAAAATTCCACGCGGACCAGGCAGCAGACGGGACTCGAACCCGCACCCTTCGCAATCCGGGCGAATGCACTGACCAATTATGCTACCGCGGCCCTCACGGACCGCGTCGAAATTCTTTCTAGCTATTCTTAAGCTGCAAGGCAGCGCCATCTCTTCGCATTATAGGTAAACCCACAATGACAAATGAATACTTTTACAAGTATTAAACATTTGAAAGAAGAAATAGCAATCATAGTTATAATTTTTATTATTTTTAAAGCATGTAACTGCTTGATGTTTAAATCTAAAGAAAATATAACTAGAAAA